TGATAAGCTTAAAATAAAGTTTTAATAAAGTTTTTTTGGTTGAGTTTTAAAAATTAAGCATTTTATATTGCATAAAAATTCGTTCGGAAACTTTTGATAACCCTCTGTAGATAATGAACCACCACATGCTCCCAAACACCAAATGCATCCATATATCATAAGTGAAGGAAAACTTCAGTCACCGGAAAAGAAAACATCATCAGGAAAAAGGGTCGGTATATAGCTTAAATTTTTGTCCGCAAAAATACATTTTACAGAAGGTAACAAGTTGGTTTCTCTTAGGGATATACATTGCCTGATGGTTCAAAAATAGAAAAGGCGACTCCCCTTGATTTAGTACAGTCGGATGATGATGACCATCCCTCTCAAGAAGATAATGACGAAGATGAAGGTATACCTGATTTGAAAGACACGGTTATCAACAATTCAAAAAAATGGATGTTACCTTCAGGGCAGAATGTAGGTGACATTGTCGATGAAAATGTATCTGCCAACGCAGAAAAAGTCAAGAATAAGAAAAAATTTACCATATACGAAAAAGCCATATTAAGATATGGCGCGTCAAATATAATAGATTTATCTGTCATGAGTGAATGGTTTTCCGCTAAGGATATAAAATTCATGGGGAAAAATTATGTTGATCTATTAAAAGTTCCTCAGTTGCCAGCAGGAGAAAGTTCATTTATATCGAAAGTTGAAAGTGTATGTATCTTGTTCTGAATTTATTTTGATATAAAGGTGTATTTTCATTGTTTTCTGCAGATGATACTTAAGGGAGATGTGAACGGTGCATATAAGCTTTGCATCGAAAATCACGTTAATTCCGAAGAAAACAACCGTATGCACAAAATAAGTAAGATATATGTCGATTTGTAAGTAATTTATTTTATTGTTGAGATTATTTTTATTTTGTGATTCTGATTCTTCTTATTTGATATGTACAGTATTTATAGAAGAACAAAATCGATATCCTGGATTATGCAGGAGATACGCATACAGAACTCGATGTTGTCATGAAGGCTTTTGGATATACAGTGGCTCACAAAAGTAATGCAACCGTTAAACATAAAATTTTAAATTAATGTAACTTTTTAAATATAAATTATATTAAAATAAAATAAAGTTTATTGAATTCGCCAAATCAAAATTAATATAAATTTATAATTACATCCGGATTTAATCACATGATCTGCAGATTGATCGCAATTTTTCCATTCTAGGAGTTGCATTACTTTTGCGGTTTTCTGGGTCCACCCGTTTTGGCTAGAATAAAATCGAAAACAATGGGTTACCAAATAAAGAACAATAACAATAACCCTCTCTCTTGCCAACAAAAAAAAAATTTTCTCAATATGCCACAATTATCTATTGAAAAATGAGCAAGAATCTTTGCCTTTTTCAAAGAAGGTTATCAAGACAATATTATCGCATCTAAAGAAGGTGTCCATAAGTCTACAGTCACTAGAATTTGCCAATGTAAAGAAGAGATAGGTAGTTTTAAAAATAAAAAAAAACAGGTTGTCCTTGAGCAATTTCTGTTCATACAGAATGTAGAATTCTCTGACTTATTGTTTCTAATATATGCTCTACAGCGGTTAATATATAAGGGGTATTCAAAAATCATAATAAGATTCAAATTTCAACTGAAATCATATGCTGAATACTTCAAAGAAACAGTCTGAAATCAAGAATTAAGAAAAAGAAGCCTTACCTCAAAAAAACACACCGAAAACGTCGCTTGGATTTCACAAAAAGCATCAAAATTGGATTGTTGAGGATTGGAAAAAGGTAATCTGGTCTGATAAAAATAAATTCATGCTTTTTAATTCAGATGGACGACAATACTGCTGGAAGAAGCCAAGGGAATCATTAAAAAGTCCACATGTCAAACCAACAGTAAAATTTGGTGGGGTAACATAATGGTTTAGGGTTGTTTTTCAGCAAAAGGTATTGGTAATTTCTGCAAAATTGATGGTGACTTAAATGGAGAACTTTACTGGCAAATTCTTGCAAAAGATCTTATGGAATCCATTTCAGATTGGAAATTGAGTGTTGAAAATATAATTTTCTAACACGATAATGACCCTAAACATATAGCAAATCTTACCAAGGATTGGCTTTTCGATAATAGAGTGACTGTTCTTGATTGGCTTACACAGTCTTCAGATTTAAAACCCATAAAGCACCTTTGGAATGAAGCTGAACGTTGTTTAAGACACCTTCCAGAGTAAGTTATAGGAAAGGAAAACCTGTGAGAAAAATTACAAGATGTGTAAAATGGGATTGAGGTCGATGTATGTTTAAATTTAATTGAGTTTATACCGAAAAGAGTAAATGATATGGAGCCTTTGCAATAGAAAGGGGGAAAACTGCCAGAAAAATTAATTTTACTTTTATATGCCAAATATGATTTTTAGGCTGAA